GCAATTCCCTGTGAGTCTATAATCATTTCAAAAATACATACTTCAAAAAAAAAAGAAAAAACATGTTCCTCTCAAGTTTCATGTATCAGTTGTTTGTGACATTAAACCCTAAGTTTGGTGAATGAACACAAAGGGCAGGAAGAGAAAGCATCTGAGAGGCTCTTCGTGTCTTTTTGCTTTATGTCTCTGTTTTTAAAAGAATCAAGAAACAAAAGTATTTGGTGCTGTGCCAACTATTAATGAAGACTGTCTTGTGAAAACAGAAGTGCTTTGAAAAAGGGTTACTGGGTCACATCCTACCGTTTCTTTCCTCAGAAACTTTCATGGCTCTCTTTTACCAATAAAATTAAGTCACACTCTTCCTACTGACATCTTCCTCCTACAATATGGCCCCAACTTAACTCTTCAGCTCTCTTTCTCGATTCCTTTAAGAGAATCCACTGCTTCAATCTGTTCTCTACACCAAGGCCTGAGTTTTCTTTAAAACTCAAATTTGGCTTCCTATGGCACTTAGCCTTAAGACTCAAACCCTTGACCTGGCCATTGAGACTCATAGTGTCTGGCCCCTGCCTCCTCCAGGTCATCTTGTACCACTCTTCATTCTCTATGCCCCATCACATGATTTGTCTACAACCTCATCCTTGCCACAGCCCTTCTCATTCAGGGCCTTGAACGTATTGTCTTCTTTGCTTGGATCTCCTTCCACTCCTCCTATTTATTTATTTATTTATCTTTTATTTTTTAATTTTTATTTTTTATTTATTTTTTATTATTATGTTCAGTTAGCCAACATATAGTACATGATTAGTTTCTGATGTAGTGTTCAGCGATTCATTAATTGCATATAAAACCCAGGGCTCATCACATGTGCCCTCCTTAATACCCGTCACCTGGTTACCTCAACCCATCCCCCCCTTCTGTAACCCTCGGTTTGTTTCCTAGAGTCCAGAGTCTCTCATGGTTTGTCTCCCTCTCTGATTTCTTCCCATTCAGTTTTCCCTCCCTTCCCCTGTGGTCCTCTGCACTATTCCTTATGTTCCACATATGAGTGAAACCATATGATAATTGTCTTTCTCTGCTTGACTTACTTCACTTAGCATAATCCCCTCCAGTTCCATCTATTTCGATGCAAATGGTGGGTATTCATCCTTTCTGATGGCTGAGTAATATTCCTTTGTATATATGAACCACATCTTCTTTATCCATTCATCTGTTGAAGGACATCTCAGCTCTTTCCATGGTTTGGCTATTGCAGACACTGCTGTTATGAACATTAGGGTGCATGTGCCCCTTCTTTTCACTACATCTGTATCTTTGGGGTAAACACCTAGTAGTGCAATTGCTGGGTCATAGGGTAGCTCTATTTTTAACTTTTTGAGGAACCTCCATACTGTTTTCCTGACTGGCTGTACCAGCTTGCATTCCCACCAACAGTGTAAGAGGGTTCCCCTTTCTCCACATCCTTGCCAACATTTGTTGTTTCCCGTCTTGTTAATTTTTGTCATTCTCACTGGTGTAAGGAGGTATCTCATTGTGGTTTTGATTTGCATTTCCCTGATGGCTAGTGATGTTGAACATTTTTTCATGTGTCTGTTAGCCATTTGTATGTCTTCTTTGGAGAAGTGTCTCTGTCCATTTCTTGACTGGATTATTATTTTTTGGGTATTGAGTTTGATAAGTTCTTTATAGCTCTTGGATACCAGTCCTTTATTTGTAATGTCATATGCAAATATCTTCACCCATTCCTCTCCCATTGCCTCTTAGTTTTGTTGACCGTTTCCTTTGCTGTGCAGAAGCATTTTATCTTGATGAAGTCCCAAAAGTTTATTTTTGCTGTTGTTTCCCTTGCCTTTAGAGATGTGTCTTGAAAGAAGTTGCTGTGGCCAACATTTATCCCTCATTATAACTACACATCCAATCATTTGATTATTTGACCAAATGCTGCTTTCCCTGTTTGACTAGAAGCTCCATGAGAATACAGCTTGTATCTATTTATGCTTGCAACTTTGTTCACCACTTAACAAAATGTGCTGAAGTTAGAATTTTTCAGTAATCACTTTTTAAGTGACTGGATGAATCAAATTGGAATAATTGCTCTCCAATCATATTCATTGGGTTTCCTGCCCCCACGCTTCTGTCATGCTCTTCATCCCATGTGCAAGGCTATACCCACATTTTATCCTCTCTACATTTTATCTAATCTTATAGACTCATATGAATGGATACTGTCTTGTCTTGGAAATATTATCTCTGTCTCCTTTGGAAACTGTAGCACTTAGGCATCTGTTCTCTTGCCATACTTGGCATTGCTATCAATAGATATTTGCCTCTTATGCTCTTTATCAATTCATATGTTTCTGGAGGGCAAGGCTTATTCATTTCTCTTCATGTCACCTGCAATAACTAGCTCATTTCTCAGAGGCTTAATTAATATATTTTCTTTATTGATTAATATGAGTAAAAGCTAAGCACATATTATAAGCTGAATTAATATTTATAGAAATAAGGAAAAATTATTGGCACTTGTTAGTTCTACTGATTTGCAATGAGTAAACAAAGTTAAATTACTAAACAGCAGTACAGACATGGGTCCCAGAGCAAATGCCTTCTGTTCGGACCATTTATTTTTATTTAATAGGTTTATTTGTTGTAGGTGGCAAAGTAATTCTAAAATTGTTAGATTCAACTTGCTTTTTTACTTTCCACTATTCCTTGCTCAGTAAATTACAGTGAAGACCAACTGATATTCCAGTAGAATTATTATTTTTCTTTCTCACTAAAGAATTAAAATAAACTTTTTCATAGAATGGAACATTATAATAGGCATTGAACAGCTAATTTGAGAGAGGTAGTAGGATGGATCAGGATGGTGGGGTATGACATGGGTTGAACTAAACACCTGAAGACCAGGGGACCATTTGTTAAGAATAAATTGCCACTGTTCAAAAAAAAGAAAAGAAAAGAGAAAGGAAAATTGAAAAAAAATTTTTCAAAACTCCATAGAACTTTAAGAAACCAACAATTGGTTGTGACTTTTCAATGCCTAAAGGAAAAAAAAACCCCACAAAAAGTCAACTGTATTTTCAGAGGGGGAAGTCTCTTCCTCATTCTCCCCAGGCTCATTTATAGTTTTTGGCTCTGGGCTAATGGGCTCAGTTCTGCCACAAAGCTAACATTTGTCTCTTCCTCCTCCTCCCACCATATCTGTGAAGACATTCTGGAGGCCTCTACATTTAGGTAGAGAACTGCTGGGAATTTCTGTGCCCCCAAATAGTGGAAATCAATGCAATTGAATTAACTTCTTTAAACATTTATTGAGTACCTGGCATGTGCTGGGTTTTCTTGTAGGTACTAGAGATTCGAGGGTGAACAAGAAATTACCCTTGCTGTGAAAGCACTCACAGTCGGGTGGTATAGGTGGGAATACTGAAACATCATTCTTAGGTAAGACAGACTGTGTAGACAGAGCTAACAAATAAAGTGCCATGGAAGCATAGAAGAGGTATCGGTTTCTGTTGTGGGGCTCGTTGAACTGAGTGGGAGTGAATTTGAGTGTGGAGGCACTCAGCTGATTTTCCAGCATCCATCCACCTCTCCTCTCCTGCAGTGGGTGACATGTGCCTGGTGGGATTGATCCCACCCTGACTCCACGAGTGAGTGCTGACTGGTGAGCCAGGAACCCTCAAGCAGACATGGTACCTCCCTGCCAGAGGGCCTTTGGAAATCCACAGGGACACTTTTAGTTGTTGCAAAGCTGAAAAAGACACTATTAGCATTTAGTGGACAGGAGCTAAGAATATTAAATGACCAATAATGTAGGAAAGCGACCCAAATCATGAAAAATTATCCCACCCAAAATGCCAGTAGTACTCCTACTGAAAAACATGAGTCTAAACCAATCAGAAATCTCATCCTGTATTGGGCTGGGGAGTCCAAGTTTAAGACAATTATCTCACAGCATTCCCCTGCTGTCATTGCAGTCCAATTAGAATAGGGCTCTGGACTTTTCTTCAATGCGTGTAGGTAGACAACCATCCTTTCTGTCTCTCCTTGGGCATGCAGGAAAAACCTGTAGCCCCTTCTCATTCCAGCTTAAACAACTTTGCATTCAATATATGTAATTTAAATATGTTTAGGGGGTTGGTTTGCTTGCTTGATTCTGCATTTTTGTTATTGTTGTTTCTAAGCAAATTATTTGAATGGCAGGAATGTTTTTGTGGCATCTAGTCTAAGTAAGATATAATATATGTGAATAATATTTTGTTTTCATCCCAGAGCTTTGGAATGACTATCAAATTCATAACATTGCCATAAAAAGGGAAATGAGTATGAAACAAAATGGTCAAATGTATTATTTCTGGTGTAATGAAGAAAGTAAGTGGTGTCTGGTGAAAGTTGTGAAAACCTAAGTTTAAACTTGCAATTGTGTGTGTGTGTGTGTGTGTGTGTGTATACACATGCATGTTCATGAAAGAAAAAGAGAGGGAGGAAGAGAGGACAGAGTGGCTATCTTCATGAATGACACTATTTGGGAATTTGTATCTTGTTCTTTTAGGAAAAATTCTGTCCTTTCAGGTTGCAAAATCTCCTCATTAAAGAAAGCTAAAAGAAAAGATTATTAAGCACTGATTACTTAATCAAAGTCCATTAACATGTTCTAAAATGTTATCAGTTGTGTTTAAAATAGCTCTGTTTTTATGCCTATTAACTCTTTTACTGACATAAGATTAGTTGGTAGTATTCATAGCTAGAAAGTATTTTCCTACATTGTCAATAGTTATGGTCCATTAAGGACAAAGAGGAAAAAGACATCTAATTACATCTGAATTAAGAAAAATTAATAAGACATAGAAATAAAGGTCAAGTTAATTTTTAAACACCCAATTTCCCTCTTGTTGCAAAACCTATAGAGGACTATTTAGATTCCCAGGTGACTATACTGAAAGTAAATTACATCTGGACACCGAGGAGGTTGAGAAGGACAGAAGAGCCACCAGTACCTGGATACTGGTCAGAGTCGTGTACTGGTAGGCCTTGACCACCAGGTAATTTGCTTCCAGGTCGATGAGTCCCAGGATCATATACTTCCACCATCTTCGTCGTAAAATTGCCAGGAGGTTTTCTTCTCCTGTGTTATGAGGATGAGAAGAAATGGATTAGGTTCTGAACACATAATAAACTGTGTATTTAGACGGATTCTAAAATATTGTTGTACTATATATTTTTTACTGTTCTTTAACAAATGTTTAATTAAACAAATGAATTGTGTCAAAGATTGACATGTTTTTACTTAGCTAATGGTTTTCATTGTAGACTTTGGCCTTTCAAATTGGTTTTTATGCCAGAATAAGACTGGGTAGGTTTTTAGTTCACCATGAAAGGCATTTTCTCATGAACATTTGAAGAAAAAAAGTTACATCATGTAAAAATAAAAGGAAAGGTATGTCAGAAAGGCTGTATAAACACACACAAAGTCCAAATCATTCTAAACTTCAGTATTATGGTAAAATAGAAAGAAATGAAATGAGGGTAGCCTATGGACAAAGGCTTATGCTTGATAGCAGATCTGCAGTTAGACTCCAAGATGCTATCCTGAGCGCTTGCTCAGCTTTGAACGTTCCATGCTTTGAACATTATATTCTGGTGGGGTGTGGGTGATGGGAAAAGAAAGGAAGTAGAGAGTCATTCTCAGATGGACAAGAGCTGTAGGACCATGGTCTGAATATTACCCCAAACCATAATCTTCACCATCTGGCCTCTTAAGCTTATAGCATCAGAACAGATTTTGCATCCCTTAGTTTTTCATCCACATTTTCCCATATTTCAAGCCTGAAAGAAACCTTATTTCTCAAGGGAAACCATGATTGTTAATAACAATAGCTCTCTGGAGTCAACCTGTGAGGTCTTCATACAGGATATGGAATCTGTAGAAACTGTGAGTGAATGGTGACTGTATTATGTATTGCTGCATGACAAATTATCCTAAAACACTGCTGCTTAAAACAACAAACATCTATTATCTCCTAGTTTTGTGGGTCAAGAATCTGGACACAGCTTAACTGAGTGTCTCTGATTCAAGCTGTCTCAAGAAGTTGCTGCCAAGTTGTCAGCCATGGATATAGTCACATCCGAAGGACTGACTGGGGAGGGATCTGCTTCTAAGCTTACTCAGCATGGCTGTTGGCAGGCCTCACTCCTTACCACAAGGGCCTGCCTGAAAATATGGCAGTTGGTTTCACCCGGGATGAGCAATGAGACAGAAAGAAGGGGGAGGGGGAGAAAGAAAGCAGGTGAGAGGGAAAGTACAGGTTTTTTTAAATAACTTATTATCAGAAATGGGACTTCTCCCCTATCCTCTTCTTTAAGAGAGGGTCAAGAAGTTCAACCCACCTCAAGGAAGAGAATTTTGTAAAGGTGTGAATACCAGGAAGCAGAGATCATTGGAGGTCATCTTAGAGGTTGGCTACCCTAGTGACACACACCTTTAGTATTATAGCCGGCCTTAAGCTGATCCTCAAGAACCTCAACAGACTCTATATCTTCACCTGTCTCTGAGCCACTCTCAGAACTTTGAACTCCTAATTTCTACCACTGGTCTTATTCCAGTGACCACGATATGAAGTGAAGGCCTTTTCAACCCTATGGAAACTTGTAAAACAAAGCTTTCCAGCTACATAGGGAATGTCAGAGTCTGGGTTGTGCCTAATTGGCAACAAGGAGGGAGAGGTCCCTGGACCTTCAGTAGCTAACCCAGTTTTCAAGCCTCATTTTGGGTGCCATACTTCTCACAAACTTTGCTCCAAGTATACTAAAAATCTTTCTGACTCAGTGAACTGCTAATTCCTGTTCATCCTTCAAAATTCAGCTATTCTCTACCATTTTGTTTGATGCCACTGCCCCCTGGGCAATGTGTACTCAGCTCTGTATAGTCCTTTCACATGATTGTGATTACTTAGAAATTGTCTCTTCACTAAACTGGGAGTTTGGGGATGATAAGACATCAATGTCTTACTCATATATGTATCCATAGCCCTTAGCATACTGACATATAGTTAGGATTAGCTAAGTGTTTTGGAATGGACAAATAATTGAACTGAAAAAAGTGTGAAGTGCTATTTCTCTGAATATGTCAAGAGTCAGCTCTAGAATATGAGTCACACTTCTTAGTGTTTTGCACTGAGCTTCATAGCCAGTGGACGTGATCCCCAAGGTCATTTCTTTATAGCCAGCTCATTTTGGCAATTCCCTTGCACAGCATTTCTGCCTTTCTTATCTGCCTATGCATTTGATCAATCAACACACTTCTCAGGATTTATCTTGTAAATTAGTGATTTGCAACCTGACTGAATAGTCACATCTTCTTGAGAGATTTTTTTTTAAAAATTTCAATGTCTGGGACCAGACACTCAAAATTCTGATGTAATTGGCTTTAGGTGGAGTGTGGGCGTTGGGCTGAGGATCACACTTACGACTTTCAAATGGTCGGTGTCCAGTGGTTATCCTCAGGATGACCTGTGCTAGGAATTTCAAAGAGATATAACCACAAGGTAGTGAAGGTTCTTAACACCAAAGAAACATCTGAACATCTGGCCTAAAGTATGCTTTTCCTTGTCTTATCTCTGGGGTTTTCTTTGTGTTGATTCCTCTGCTTGGACTATTCTTCCTCCAGTCTCCAAATGAAGGATCAGCATAGACACTACCACCAGGGAGCCTTCCTTGGTCTTCCTAGGGCTGGATTTCTCTGTAGTGTGCTTCTTTAATACCCTTTGCTTATCCCACATATAATACTTATCTCACTGTATTATAATGACCTATTTTCTTGACTCTATTACTCATTAGATTATTAACAATTTGACGACAGTGGCATTGCCTTGGTCATCACTTTATCACTAAGATCCAACAGTACATGGGGAGTGGTCAATAAATAATACAGAATGTATGAATAATTTTCATGTTTAATAATCTCAGCAATGCTAAATAGATCGAAACTGAGGTACTTAAAATATATTTACTATAAACATTCATGCTCCAGACAATGAAAATTGTTTTTCAGTTAGAATGTAGACAACATCTGACACAATTAATTTTGTGACCATTTTACACATGACATACTATACATAGGACATAAAAAGGTCGATGGCATGTTTAACTGCAAAGCTGCAATTCTATAGTCAGAGGTCATTGTCCCAGTTAATTTACACAATGAACAGAGAATTGCCAAACTCAGAGCATACCAGCCACATCTCAATGATATAAGACTGAAAATTTGGGTCATGGTGCTGTTTGTTCTACCAATCAATAACACATTCCAAGTGTAATTCATTACATAGATTCAAAGGAATGATTAGTTGCCTTGTTGTTCTGCTGAAAAAGTCTGCAAAGCAAAACACCCTAAATAAATGTTCCATACTGTTTCATATTGTTTCATTTGAAGCACCAGAAAACATACAATATTCTTGCACAGCAGAATTATCCAGGAAGGCAAGAGAACCCTTCTGTATTTTTGGCTGAGCAAAAAATCCAGCCCTAAAAAGGACTGCTTAGGGATTTATCTACATGGCTCTCATTAACACGGATGTACAATAGGCCATTAAAATTCTTTCTAAAATAATGAAAATGCATTCTTTACAGCCTTTGTGCCAAACCGCTCCCTAAATCTCATAAAATAGGGCCATCCATAAGAAACACCAGCACAATTGGTGGTATGTTAATGTTTTGAAATTCTTTTTTTTTTTTTTTAATTAACTAGAAGGCGTAATAAAATCCATGGGTGGAAACTTTACAATTAGAGTTTGCCAGTTACATGCATTCTGTTAGTTATTATTTTTATTATCAATATGTTCAAATATAAATAAAAATATTAGGGAATAATGTAAGGTAACCTCCAACCTGATTTTTTGTAAATTTTATTTTATTTTGTTAATCACCATACATTACAACATTAGTTTTTGATGCAGTGCTCCATGATTCATTGTTTGTGTATAACACCCAGTGCTCCATGCAGAACATGCCCTCTTTAATACCCATCACCAGGCTGACCCATCCCCCACGCCCCTCCCCTCTAGAACCCTCGGTTTGTTTCTCAGAGTCCATAGTTTCTCATGGTTCCTCCAAAGTGATTTAATAGATGTTAACATTTTGCCATGTTTGCTTCAGAAATTTTGGGTTTTTTTTTTTTTTTTAGGAAGAAAATGTTAAAGATAAAACTGAAGCTCCCTTTCTGCTCTTGCCAGATTCCATTCCCTTCCCTCCTTCCTCAAATTAGTGTTTAGATATTGTTGTGGATCCTTCATGTTTGCGTTCTTGTTATACATTTTCGACCTTTGTTTGTATCCAAAATAGTATATAACTTCCTTTGGTATGTTTTTAAACTTTAAAAGAAAGTTTATTGTATACACTGTAGTTGTCATTCTTTTAGGGGTTTTTTATGCCTAACATTGTTTTAGAAATGTATCCCTATTGTTTCACGTAGAGCTAACTCATTTATTTTAAACACTGTATATTATCATATTTTCTGAATATGCCACAATTTATCTAGTCTCCCACTAAGAAACATCTAAGTTGTTTCAATTTTTCTGGATTAGGAACAATGCAGCAAAGAAAGTTACCCTAATTTGAAGTAACAGCAACAATTCCAGCAACAATAACTACTTCACTAATTAAGAACAGGGAAAGAAATTACTGACATCATTCAGATTGATCACGTCATTCAGATTGAATTTTATTAAGCACCAACAGCATGATCAATCGAAAGTGTTTTTGAATTTTTGTAACAAAAACTTCTATGATACTTGGTATCAGGCAGTGTCTACATGCTTTACAAATATTAACTTACCTACTCCTCATTATAACCCGATACAGTAGACATTGCTATTAACCCTATTTGCGTATGACAAGACCAAGGCCAGGAGGAGTTAAGTAACTCCCTGAAAGGTCACACAGGGCAGCCAGGATCTGGACTCATGACAATCAGGCCCCAGGCTTCATACTCACTAGTACTGTGCAATTTTTCCTCTCTGATTTGTAATTGTGGCATTGCCCTCAGGAGTCACACATTTTTCATTAAAGGCTCTTTCGTGACCTACTTGTCCCGACTCACCCGCTGCGTGCCCCATTGCTAACTCCAGG